TTTTGAGACAGGGTCTTCCTGTAGCCCCAGCTGTCCTGGAACTCACTATGTAGACCAGGCTGGCCTTGAACTCACAGAGATCCGCCTATCTCTGCCTCCCAAGTGCTGGGATTAAAGGCATGCGCCACCATGCCTGGCTTGTTTAAATTTATTTTTATATTACATGTATGAGCGTTTTGCTTGCAGGTTTGTAAGTGCACCCATGCATGCAATGTCTGTGGAGGCCAGAAGAGGGTATCTGATCCCTTGGAGCTGGAGTTATGGACAGTTAGCTGTCATGTGGGTGCTGGGACCCAAATCCAGGACTTCTGCAAAAGCAGCCAGTGCTCTTAACCACCGAGCCCTCTCCAGCCCTAGGAACCTGTGATTTTTGAAAGGAATGATAGGTGAAGCACATATTGATGTGCTCTTCTCTGAAAACAACTCACACACTGTTTCCTTTCTGTAGCTTTGTCCAGTCATTTGTCCCTAATCATGAGTCTGCTCACTCCAGGATAATTTGCAGCCTCCTTCTACCAGACAAACCATTTAAATCATTGGTTTTTTAAAACAGTCAATCTACCTGGAGCATCACTGTGTGTTTTTGCTGGGTGTGTGAAGAATGCAAGGTGCTCTATGCTCAGATACAGGCCATTCTCAGGGATGTGGTTGTAGCAAGAAACCTTAAAGGATAAGGTAATATATCCCCACAGAGAGCAGGCTTGCTTTTCCAAGAAGCACTGACTTGCCCAAGCTAGGTACAACTCTCTTATAATGCAGTCTTCTAGGTATGCCAGCCTTCAAGGTGGGTGGGGCCTTTTGAGTCATCCCTGTGAGAACTGGGGTGCAAGTGGGCTGAGCAACTGGCTCAGATATCATGTTGAAACCCTGGCTACAGATTTTATAGCAATAAAGTCATTTGTTTCTGACCCAGGAGTTGTCACATATCAACTGAAAACATAATCTATACATACATGATGGAAAATTAGAAAGCATAACTGTCACCAAAATTTCAAGGGACTACTGAATCAGGCAGTGACATTTCCCCCTTTCAGCTAAGCCCATTTGTTTATTTAAAATGAAAGTGCTTCTCCCCATGCTCTTTCTTTTGGGTATGGCAAATGCACATCGTTCTTTGAAATGAGAAGAAAAATTAGGACTGATGTTTATTGCAACCAGATAGGCTGTGGTAAGCATTCAATGAGAGGCTAGTAGGTTTTTCTTTTCTTTTTAATTTTTTCAATTTACTTTACATTTTATGAACAAATAAAACAGGCGAAAAAACAATATATTCAAGGCTTTAATGGCAATTGCATAGGGTTTATATGCTTCATCCATGTAGTTCCTACTGTCTGGGATCTGTGCTGGCCAGTTATGGCTCCTGGGTCTTTTCATGTGTTCAGTACTAGGTGTTGTAGCATGAGCCCAAGGCATAGGAGTAAAGGTATTTCCCAGACCAGAACTGATATACAAGTTTTAATGGAAAATTGTAGACAGAAGACAGAAGGCAAATTCCTAGAGAGGAAACTGTATCCCTCAGAGGGAGTGGGGTTCTTTTGTGGCAGTTAAGGTAAGTTATCTGGTCTTGTCTCCTGAGTCATTTGAGTGGAGTCATATGTGACTAGAGTTCAGGATGGCAGCTCACTATCTTGAGGTAGCACATATTTAAAACTGAATTTTTATGTATTTCATGCAAAATATCTTAATCATCTTTCTACCCCTCCCGCATTCACACACTCCCAAAGCACCCCCACCAGACTTCATACATTCTGTCATTTATGTTAATGCATATCAAGTCAAGTTAGTGTCCCTAGACAATCCTCAGTGCAAATTCATCTGCTGGGGTCTAATCAGCCTATCTAGAGTCACTCCCTTAAAGATCAGCTCTCCCTCACTCAGCAGTAATCAGCTGCCACTAGATCATTGGCACAGTTCTTTGTTGAGTTTTTGTCTGCTTGAGTTTGCATAGGTCTTGTGCATGCTGATACCATTGTTGTAGGTTCATATGATTCTGCAAGACTGTTCCCAGAAGGTCATGTACCACCTCCTCTGGCTCTTACAATCTTCCCAGCCCCTCTTCTACAGTGGTCCCTGAGCCCTGGGTGGGTGAAGTTTAATACAGAAGTCCTGTCCAGGGACCCACACTGTGTACTTATTCTCTATGTTTTGGCCATTTGTGGCCTTTTGTGTTCATTGCCCTCTGTTGCATGAGGGAGCTTTGTTGATGAGAGCTGAGAGATGCATTAGTACTCTCTCTACCCTTTGTTCTACTATGTTCCATAAGCCTTAGCTATAGAGGTTCCATTGTAGATGTGTCACTAAGGGTTGGGCATTTCACAGACACTTATTCTCTGAGTGTGTCCAGTTGTAGAACTCTGTAATAGTCTTTATCTTTTGCAAAAGAAGCTTCTTTGATGAGTGGTGACTGGGATACTTGTCTGTAAATATAAGGATCCATACTTAGCTAATAGTAAGAAATTACATTTGTCTAGAAATGTGATAGCTTTAGGGTTTTTGCTAAGATCTATGTCCGCTCCATCCATGTGTATTTAACTGTTTACAGTATTACACATGAGTCCCTCCCATTGAGTGGGCTTTAAGTCCAATTAGATAGCTGTTGATTACCCCCAAGATAAAAGTGCCACTACTGCCGCAATATAGTATGTAATGCCTGTTGTTGTGGTTATTAGGCCTTAATGCTGGGGTTGGACCATTGATTGATGTTCTCCCTTAGCAGCTTACATAGTGTTTTCCAAAACAATAAGAGCTAGCCTTCATGGAGGTAGCTGTCAGGTCAGTTACAGCTCTATTGCTCCAAGTCCTCTGTCTAAAGTATGTCCTTTCTTCAGTAACAGGGTCTTACACTCATGTTTTGGGAAGCAATCAAGGGCCTGTGTAATTTTGGGAGTCTCTTAGACTACCATGGCTAACAACTTGAAGGGATGTTTCTCTTGTCTGGCAACGTTTCTTGTTATATAGCCTTCAGCTATACACATGGATACATGTAGAGATATCATATGTGTAATTTTTCAGTAGGTTTTGAACTAATACATTTCCCTCTGGTTTTTCACACCAGCTAAACATTATTTATCTCGTCTTTCTCTCTCTCTGTCTAAACTTTCCTCCTCCTTCCCCAGTTAAAGTACCCCAATTTTTTCCATTTCACTCTTGATAATACCTATCCCCTGTGATCCCCACTCCCTTGAGTTCCTTCTTCCCGGTTGCCCCCATGGTTCCTTGTATAATCCTCCCTATTCCCTTTTCCTTTAAATACCCTGATTTTACCCATTTCCCTTTGGTAATACCTCCTTTTATCTACCTGGTTCCTTTCCATTTTCCTGGTTCTTGCAGTTATATCAAAATATATACTTACTTATAAGGATTTGGTGCTAAAATTTGAGGTAGTAAATTTTATTTTAAAAAGTAGTTTGCTTACTATTTTTTTTAACTTTTTCAAAAACTTTGAGAATTTCATACATGTATATAAGGTGTTTTGATCAAATCCATGCCCACTCCCTCCCCTCCAACATTCTCCCCTCTGAGGAGGTAACCCTAAAATCTTTTAAGGATTAGATATAAGCTCCCAAATACTTTTGACATTTTTGGCCTTTGGAATAGAGTATGTTGCTAACAGGCCCAAGGACATTTTGACTTTTAGCCAAGAAACTGGCTACATTTCTTTGGGGTCTTTTTACCCTAACTGCCTAGCCAATTCCTACCTCCTATTCTTATCACGCCATCCTCTGAAGGGGTTACCCAAATTGCCAATAGGGAATAGGGACACAGACTGCTCTGGCTTCTTCCCTGCTGAACAGGGACACTGTGTGAGGCAGTTGGAGTGTCCCTTCAGTGGGTCTATCTAAAATTATCCCAAATTGTATAACTTGTCTCTAAGGAGAGAAGAAAATCCTTGAATCATGAATGGGAGATGTGAAGGAGAAGTAAAGGCAAGAGTAATTAGCATTACAAGTTCTAGACAGGGAGATAGAAAAAAAGTCAGAACAGGGCAATT